GTTACGCATGTCACCAGATAGGTTACCACGACGAGCGATGTTCGCGGAAGCAGACACTGAGTGGGAAAAAGCCCAGGGTGGTCATGGTAAGACCTGGCACGAGGGTACGAAAACCCTAACCAGGAGACTAGGTCGCATAGGTAGTATTAGGCACCCTGGTTGAGGACCTCGGGATGATCGTAACCGATAGTTAGAGACACTGAGTGATGTGGCTGGGTGTCGTAAACAGTGGCATTCGTGCATGCTCTCAATTTCTTTGCAACCCTAAACCACTGAACTTTTCCATTTTCTGTTCAATTCAACTTTCCTTTCTTCTATTCTTCATCCAAATGGGCAGCCAAAAGACAGCGACCAAAACCGGCGCACGAATATGCGTGGTTAATGGTTGTAAAAACTGAAACTGAACTTCACACACGAGCAAAACTACACAAAACTGTGAAACAAGGTTGGATTTGGTGATGTTTTTATACATTTCACTATTTATGACACTGCTCATGATTGATCATGGAACCATTCTTTTGTGAGATATTCTATGAGATGAGAGGAATAAGTAATTCCCATAATAAAAATTCGACTCTGACTTTGATTTCGTCGCGTCCACTGTTGATTGTTGTGTCTCTCTGTCCATGTACTGAATCCTCCTTCTTGTTCATTTTCCCACCTCCCTCCGTTTACCTCTCAAACCTTCTCACTGTCATCCACGACTCACCGAAAATGAATACAGGGGATCGATCTTTCCATATGCAACGAACGCTACAGTCGACTGAGTTTGCGAGGTACGAGTGTATGTGATTTTCTGTTATAGCTTTTACGGTCATTTTCATTCATTTTGGTTTGGTATATTTATGCGTTTACCACCTCACTGATTGACGCGGTTATCTATACTGCTAAGCATTGAAAGAGGTTTGGGTACGTCTTCCCGTTCATTGCTTTATTTGCGACCCAGATCATATATCTCTCTCTATGGTCACCGAACCCGATTCCCTGGTGCAAGCCAATAGCATAAGCTTCGGAATGGTGAATCCCGTTAGACGTCTCTGTGGGTACAAATAACCACCGGGCTTTTTGAACTGTTCTCATTGACTAGCTGATACGCGATAGAATACGGCACGTTTGTTGTGCAGTTCGTTTCTTTACTTCGCCGCAATAAGTTATTAAAGGCTGAAGTTGTTTCTTTTCAAAACTGCGTACTAAGCCGTTGTGACTCACTCATGTAGTACAATATGATGTAATAAGTGAAAAAAATAAATCCAAACTATATCAACGCAGGAAGTTGTATATGTGGATTTGTCAGTAAACGAAAATTGGCCGGTCGATAAATATCTCATATGTAAACTCTTAAACCGTGGCCAGTAACTTATTTACCGAACTAGAGCAGTAATTTTCAGACGGCTTGATAGTTACCACTCGCTTAGTCAGTCTTTTCCGGTCAATATCTCTGAATCCGATAATTGATAGCAAAATCGGAGCTCTGCTTTGTCGCGACCACCTTTGCCCTTGCAGCTGATCAGTTGAAGGTGATACTGGACAATGGCTAGTGAACACGCCGTCATCTGACTAGCTCTTCTGGTCATGAATCATGTATTCTCACTCGATTCACCTGTGTAGCTCTTTATGTTTACTGTTCTTTCTACGCGAAAAATACTCTTGAGATGGCTGATTTTTGACAGTGTATGATTTGACGAGCTCCAAAACAAGCCCTGGCAATTGAACATCAGGAAACATTACACAGAACCTCATAAAGGTCCAGTAACTCAGTATTATACATTGAGATACAATGATTGCTTGTTTTACAGTTTGTTCTTAGTAAATGTACAGTTTGAAGACGAATAACACTACTGCCATGCTGAAGAGGGAAAAACAAAGGATGCCACCACACTCAGCCATACCAGTCTTCGAACGACCAGCCTTAGTAAGAAACGATGGTGAGAATGCCTTGGTCTTTCGATGTCTGAAGCCAGTCGGTGTAGGTTCGTTGAAGCCTCGATCCAGAAGACGTGATACACCAAATACACAAAGAAGAACTTGAGTTTTCTGTTTCGGTATTTACTTCAATACTAATGGTTGGTTAATCAGTTGGATAAAGTGAGTTTTCATCAGATCCACTCATTTGTTGCCTGCGAACCTTGACCAACACGTATCATGCACAGTACCATTCTCGCGTCTGATTCTTTTTATTCTGTTTCCAATCTTCCCTTGAGTGATATCGTTATCTGCCAACTTTCAGCAGTGTTTTCTTTCGTTCTCTCTTTCTACTTCAAACTATAGCGTAAGTGACCACATATTCAATGAGCTTTCATTAGTTGGTTACAAAAGTAATCGGTCGTGTGTATTATTGAGTTCATCTCCACTCCAAATCTTTTTACAGTCTGAACATCGTAAATGATGTGTGATTTCCCATATGGCTGATCTGAACTACTCACAGATGATAATGGTACTATTACTCACCCCAGTTTTTGTTTCTTCCTACACGAACTTCGCCCTGTATGTTCATCTACAGCTGACAGCGTTGGATGCGTCTCTAGGCTGCCAACCGAATCGCACCGCTTAGTGGCTAATCGTTGAAACAAGGGGAAATTGCTTCAAGATATAAGCGACTGTGTTTAAAGAATGCGATATTTTTTTTACCTGGTAACTGACCTCTTTGCAGCAAATCACCACACACGTTTGTAAAAGGCACTGTTTCCAAATTCAGTCCACTATCGAATGAGATCGTTGTTATCATTATTCTGTCCTACAAGAAGCACTTGGCCGTGGCAGAGTGAGAGGCACATTTTCCAAGAAAAACGTCAATTGAAACTGTGGTGCTACTCCGTTGTACGCCACTGCCGGTTATCGTGAGTGAGCAGTCGGTCGTTGCGACTCGGGGGTATCCCTTATTTCCGTTCGTCACATAAGGGCGTGCAATAAATAAAAGGTTGTCCTTCTTAGCATCAGGGACACGGATTCTCAACTGCCTGATTACGCGTCTGATTTCCCGCGATATACTTATAGGTGTCAGGTAGACAGGTTTGCATTCATTGCATTACATACATGACAGGACGAGAATGCCTTGGTATAAATCACTCGCACACATGTATTCCTTCTGATTTCAGACAGTTTGGCATGCATTTGGACGCGAGCGCGGATGCGTTGACGCACAGAATTCACAGCTTAAGGTGGTCAGTTTTCCACAATGCACAGCTAGTGTTTGCGACCATTGGGTTTAATCTTCCATCAGCATATCTTGATTACCCTAACACCAACCATTGCATCTTATTTACAATAGACTCCCATTTTAGTGATACTGTATATCAAGATTTTCTGACATACCTTTGCATATTTTTATACACAGGTATTCGGTTGAACCGATCGCATGTGGAGACTTTGGAGGAAATTTTCCGTCGGGTCCATTTTCGGGAATTGGATTTCGAAGGCACATATTTGGACGACCAGGTGAGATTGCATTATATCTCTATCTATCTATCTATCTATCTGTCTACATATATCTACATATATATAATGTGATCAATTGTTGAATCATGTTCTGTTTATTTACAATTCATTGGTTCCACCCGTCAACCCTTTCCGATTTGGCTGCCTTTTTTGTGCCGTATCTCGACTTAGTCCACAAGTGTGTTGAAACACAAGATTCATTTGATCCAGATGGAATCACCATACATGCTGAATTTCAGTTTTCAGCTCACACAAACACTATTTGTAATTGGAACAAACACTATCGTTTTTATTTTGGAACAGTGAATCCCTGTGACTAAAACACATGCTTTCTGTCGATCATTGCGCCGTGATGTGTAGTGGAAGCGAGAGAGCGTTCGTGCGGAGGGATGCATAATACATGTCTCAGCTATCGTGTTCTATAAAGGTCAAGCGTTCTCAATCACCCAGCGTTGCCCATTTAGTTATCTGAATGAGCATGCGGTGTTGTTTAAACATACATCGGTTTGTGCCCAGCCCATTTTCATTCATTCTGGATCTTTTTGTCCCACAAAACATTGATGCTGATTTGTTTCACTCAACCGATTCCCGAAATGATCACGTTTGGGATTGAAACATCGATTTTTTTTCATGTTAACTAAATGCTCTAAGTAAAAGTGCGTAATAAACGGCTAGTCATAACTGAAATTTATGCTTTATGCCTCATCCTGCTGCGCTTTTCAAGAACGGGAAATACGATTAGGTCACCAGCTGTGCCACACTTTTGATAATCACAAAACCAGTTTTCCCTTTCTCTCTCAAGTTTAGTTAAATCGAGTAATACTTCTGAATGGGTTTACCGAACAGCTGTGGAACATTTGGGATCTCATGAATAGCTTCCCATTTGGTTGCTCTCAAAGTTACACACTGTAACTTGATGACCCGTAGAATAGCAAACTACATGGTCAAGTCAAGTCAAGTAATGGTTGTATACACCTCGAAGAGTAGATATTCAACAGCCACATGGCAACAGTGCCAACAATTTAATGTACATTACGGAAAACCTACTACAAAGTCATGGGAACCATCAATTTAAGTCCTGGTTTGTAAATCACACAAGGCGTCTTATGTAATGAGTTTAATATTGTGCTCAACCGCGACGGAACTGTCAGTCGCCAAGGTTAATTGCCGATGTGAGTGTTTGAACGAAACTGTGTTAAAGGCCAGAGTCGACCGATGAATGCGACTGATTAGCTTTTGCATCATAAGAATGCATAGAACAGGGGGGGGGGTCGATTGGTTGCTTTAGACCACCAATATTAAATGCGCCCGCGGTCACACACGAAGAGAATCCTATACAGTGTGTAGACAAACTGTCACCACGGTCCGTCAGTGCTAAATTTCATCTGGTCTCACACTTCGTTCATCTCGTTCTGTTTCAGTTGACTAATTTTAACTTACAATCTTTGAGCATATTTTTCTACTCACCTTCCTTGTATCTGTTCTCGGGAATTGATTGACCATTTCTTCGAATGCCTCTTTGCAATTCGGTTGAATTCGCCCGTTTAATGTGACCGAATGCAGTCGACCGAAGTGTCCAATTCTCTTCGGCTAACCCTGTCATTTAATGCTACATTTCGGGTAAATAAATAGATTTTATCTACTCTTCAGGATCTACATTCGTTTTTTGGAGTAGCACTTTATGATGGGTTCCAGCACACTAAGTGCAACCGAAGCGTGTGCTGTACGGCTGTTTCAGTAGTGCCAATTCACTGATCCAACTAAGGATCGAACTCGAGACCTCACATGCAAAATTAAAGCATACTATGCTTTGAACCACCGGGCAGCTGATAGTAATAATGATGATGATCATCGTTACTTCCTTTTGTTTTGAGTGTACAAATGTACTACAACTTTTAAGAAAAGCGTGGACTATAGCCATGAAGGCACTGCCTGGAACACAGAAAGGAGGATTTGGGCGGCGGATTCGAGCACACGTCCTCCCGGTCGATTATTTGGTAACCTTACCCGCTTGACCACCACCAACACCGCCGAATTTCATTTTACCGACGAAATAGAATCAAACTCTCCACTACTCTCAAGTAAAATTTTAGATAAAACGTAATCAATGTGGAACATACTTCGTAATTCGCGACAGAATACCTCGAAAAATGCTGTAGCTAAGGTGCATCGGTTGACCATCCCCATTCATTGAACGATTTTCCTTGCGATACAACATTCTTCTCAGTGGTTTCACTCGCAGTCCAAGAACTAAGCTCATTAAATACGGTAAACTGCTAATAATTCCACGTTTATTCTACGGAGATGAGAATCGCATTCAGGATTGATTTTGATCCACTAGGTTAATGAATTGAGGCATTGCTTGTCTGCGGTTTCATGTGGGTATTGATCATATGCATTTTGATCACGGGTCCCATGATTACGTTTTTCTTGTTCTATTTCACAGGCAGTGAAATAGATCACAGTTGGAAGCGTGTAGGAATTCATTCATTATTGGGAATGCATACATCAAACGATTGTTTGCCTGGATTGCCGTCAAACATATTGATTGTTCGGCGGTTCCGGCCAATCACCTAAGTTCGCCTATCGTTGTTTTGCTTGGTTGTCGCAGAACAAATCAGTTTTCAGGGAGCATACTGGTTCCCTGACAGGTCTGTCCCTAGCGCGGTTGAAACAGTACTAGGTACACGTGTCTTCCCAGCGGTACGTGTTGTTAAACTGTGGTTATTTCACGCTATTTTCTCATTAGAATCCCTGTCATATCTTTCATTCACAAAGCCCACTAAACAGGTCATAATAACTTAAACCGATATCTCAACTTGATGATGTGCATATTCTCGGGCAATTGATTTAGTACACACTGATACAACGCCAATTTCACCAACCTAGTTTGTTGAGTCTCCCCCGTAATCACGTTGTGTACTTTTTATGGTTGTAATTTATCACTTTTTCCACCCGATTAACACCGTTTTTTTCCACATCGACTAATATCTTTTCAATCACAAAATTGCCAAAACAAAAGTAGGCATTGTCGAAATAAGACTACTGAGACTGTTGAAGGATAAATACGCATTTCCGAGGCCGGGATACCCTGTTCTTCCTTAAATCCTCTATTTCAAGCTTTTCTGAGACCTCACACGCTTAAGGCTATCTCCGGTGCACCATCAATTCGCGTACGGTACCCGATGTCTCAGAGAAGCTTGTCAGATCGACACTTTATCAAACCGTTGGTACTTTGCTTCTTCGAGTGCCTACTTTGTTTGTGTTTAGGTTGATTCAGGTATACCTGTTTTGTTTCGGCAATATGGGAACTGAAAAGGCATGAATGCATCTTGTGCTCGGGTGAAATTAGTCACTTGAATGGGATTGATGAATAAACTCAAGTCAAAATGGGAGATAAAAATGGTAACGAGCTTAGCAGCAACGAAGCCGGTAATGTTGGATGTCGAAATTGGAATCTAGCAGATCGACGCGCCCCAGCTGTGGTAAATAAAGTGGTTTGGTCACCACCGTTGACATGTCACGGTCGCGAATAAATCGTCCCGTAGGGATGATCCACCACAAGCCTTGTCCACACTAAGTGTAATTTCCTCCTGCGGTAATCCACTGTCCAGAGCTTTGTTCCTTTTGAGTGCTTGTGAATGTCCTCTTTTTTTGGTTCTTTGAATACATTTGTCACTAGCGCGAAATCCGATGATATTTCTCAATTAGGTTCTGTGAAACTTTGTTGTCTGATTCAGTCAGCTAACTTCATAGCTGGGTATACTATCACATACTATATATATACTATGCTATCATATACTATCATGTGGGGTAACATTCCATCTGCAAACTGGAGCCTTACGTTTCGTCCCTTACAGTCAAGATGCTAGGCATCATAACTATTGCGTGTAATAATCTCTTGACTGCATGTTTCATTGTGATTACGTGGCGATTCACGTAATCACGTATTATTTTGATCTATTACATATACAACTGACTGAAGATAGATCAATCTTTAGTCATGAGCTGTCATCAATGTGACGAAGTATATTCACAGAAATGTGGAGAATGCAAAGTATGGTGTTGAGAGAATTCAATCACTGTTTTCAGATGAATGGGCTAGTAAACGATACTGTTCAACTACTTAGAGTACAATAGTGCACTCTATTTTTTTCTCCAACCGTCTATCTGACTCGCACCAATGGCGAAGCTTGACTCGTCTCCAATTTGTGCTAGGTAGTAATCATCTCATTTGTTTGCAAAGCATTGCTCCTCTCCCATATCAACCCTAATTGTGGGTTCCATCTTGTTTCATCTCTGTCTCGTCCTTTCGCCCCGATGTTCAGTCCGCTGTGGCTCTGTTTGACATGCTGTTGCACTACGAGACTTGTCATGAGTTGCACATCTCCCTCAATTTGGATAAATTTCATCCCAGTTTGGCTTGGGCACGTTGTGTGACGTTTATGCGCCGAGTAAGTGACTGCTGCCTTGTCTAATTGATGAACTTCGTCCTTTTTTCGTTCTGTGTTTCATCGCCAATACCGGACTGGAAAGCTCCCGAAATATGATACAGCTTCCTGTTTTGGTTGTTTCAAGTCATTCACAGACGATATCCACAGAATTCACTAAGGCAATATCATATTCATTCCTGTGAATAAGGCTGGAAAAACAAAGCGTTGAGAGGAACAAATGAGGTGAAAATCAGGATGTTACACGAGTTTATTCAATGCCTGTATCTGGTGCAGTCGAAGGTTTCATAAGTTTACCAGACTAAGTTATCATTTTGTCTACCTTGCCTTCATCCTGATCAGAAACAACTCACAGTTGTCTCAGTCGGCATATTTAACTTGTGATCACTTTCGAATGCTACCTTTAAATTCCAGGCCGTCCTATTTTCCATCATTTTATGCATCGTTTGCCCACCTTTGTCGTTTTAGCTGTTTTCGTGGGTCACACCACTGGTGTTTCCATAACTGTCTGCCCGCAAAGTGAGGTATATATCTACATTTTTGTGGAGGAGCATCTCAACCTAGATTGTATTTCTCTTTTAGTCCGGTGAATTGCGTCGTTTCGCTCTGAGCCATACTCCACTCACAATCGGAAATTTCCTCGGATTAAATTTCTTCGGACTCTGTCTGAATGGACTCTCTCTACGAGACTGTAATCTGTCCGGTCAGGCCCTTTTCGGCTTAGTCCGTTGGCTTCGACTCCTCCTTTCCTCGGCTAGCCTTGATCCCCCCAGTCGGGACAGATCTGGTGGGTCTACCGGCAACAGCACCAATGGTGGTTCACGAACCGGATCTCGTCGTTCTTCCGGTGGTGGCTCAGTGGTACGGCGTAGTCATCTGTGGCGTTCAGTGCTCACTGTGAATCCGGAAACTGGGATGCGTCAACCTTCTGTTTGGGAACTGAGATTAGATGTCGCCCAGAACCGGCTCAACGCAGCAGACGCGGAAACACTACTGGCGTTGATACGACATCAACTGCTTGTGCCACAAATTCCTCCCTCGGATGTACCCGCATCCACTAGCCCCGATTCAGAAAAACCCAGCCAATTGGACCATAGCATCACGAGTGAGGAAACGGGTGGTTTACGGAAGGAATGGCTTCCAGTTGGTGGAATCGGGTTTTTATCCAGTCTGGACTTGTCCAATAACTCACTTGGGGTAGGTCCCATCATTGGGCTTGTTACAATTATATGCACTTCATTCTTATACGAGTT